AATTTTTTATAAAAAAATAAATTATAATCGTAAGCCTAATTACGTAACGGAGAATAGTGTGAAGGATACTTACCCAAATCAGTATTTCAAGACGTTTCGCTATCTACCACGCCTCTTAACAAGTACTGGATTTCTTAAATTTTTTTACAGAATTCAAAACACTCATCACATACCTAAAAGTATCCTAAATATCCAAATCGTTGTCCAAAACTCTTTCCAGCCAATTTTGGAGTTCCAGCACGGCGACGGCGTTGTGCTCCAATGCCGACTCTGCCACCCACGATGGTGGTCCACCCCAGCCAAGGCAATTTTGGCTAGTTTTACACATATTCTTGCGAAAAAACACGTTAGAGGGGGTCTTTCTTAGTCGAAAAATCACAAAAAACATCGAACCTACTGGTGGGGGGTCACCGGGTGCGACAACTCTGCCGATTCTCCTTCGCGGCAGGGTTCCTTCTTCTGCTAACTTGCACAGAAAAGGACGATGAATATAATAATAAAAAATCACGTAAAACAGAAATAAGAAAGGAGCTCATCGGAGGAATTTTGGAGTTTTGGTCATAGTGGCTCTGTCAGGCTTTTTCCGCAGTTTCCGGCTCACCCGTCGTCTCTCTTACTCCGATTTGACCACATGGGTGCTCGGAATCGAATTTCGAGCTGTATGGGAAATTTTTATCTTTTTTGGCAACTGGTGGTGGCTTTGGTGCGGTTGCGGTCGGCGGTCGGTCTCCTTTTCCAACATCTGGTTCTTCTTTTTCGACTAATATGGCAGCTAGGGTTTGGGCTCTCATGTGACGCGAAGTATTTATACCATCCCCTATCGATCTAGATCATTCATCGCAATTGATTTCGTCCGCCCGATTGCATTTAAGGAGGAAACAAATGTAGACCATTCATCGTGATTGATCTCGGCCATTCGATCGTGCCGAATGGAGAAACAAATCCAAGCCGTCTACATGTGCGGGATCAATCTTGGGCCATCCGATTACAGGGCACGTGGATTGCCCAAAGCGTGCTTTGCCATGCAGCGTGCTCCGATTCGTCGGAGCTACTGACTGAGCGGTCCTACGTGGCCGAACCTTTCACATTTGCATTTTGGTCTTCTGTTTTTAATTTTTCTTTCAAAAATACCTTCCGAATTTAAATTTTCACTCATTTTTTCTAATTCAATTACATCCCTACCTACTTTTTTTTTTCAATAATTTAATAAAATTAAATAAAATTAATTTATAATTAATTTTTTTTTTTTTTTCTAAAACATTAAAATTAATCTTAGGCCAAATTTTAGGCCCGGATATTACATTCGGTATCTTACATTCCATTTTTTCTATTTTATAATAGAAAAAACGAAAATAATTAGGTTACATTTATATATTTTGAAAAATATCTCAAAAGAATTATTTGATAAATTAACAACAACCTAATGTTATTATCTACTACTATTAATTTATTAATGATTTAAAATAATTTTTTGAACTGTTTTTTAAAATATAAAAATACAACCTAATTATTTTAATTTTTTGTTTAAAAATAAAAGAAAGATATAGGTTTAAAATAAATAAAAAATATCAAAAATAAAAAGCTGATTAAAAAAAAAAAAGTCCATGAATTAAATTGTAACAAATATTAAATTTCAACTATTAATTTATCAATTTATACAAAGATACATATAATACGTAATAAGAGAGAAAAGGAAACCAATGTGGTCTTAGAAAGAATATAAATTAATTTTAAAAGATTTAACAATTACTCAGTTTGAAATCAATGAAGATTCATTAATTACTGTATCATTATTGGAAATTAGGAAGAGTTTTCTTCTAACAAATAAATATTTTATCTAATTTTTTCAGAATAAAAAAATATTTAATTAAATATAAATGCTAAGAGAGGTCTAAGCACGTGTCAGAATCAGAATCAGATCACCCAGACTCAAAAGGAGCTTTCTCTCTCTCTGCACTGCTGAATTAAATGAACATCGTTGACCTCTCTGTTTTATTGCCTGTAGCTTTTATTTTTTTTTATTTTTTTTTCTTACACCAACCATTTAAGACTCTCCAATAAACGAATTAAAGCACACACAAATTAACGACAAAGGACTATATACAGCCATATTTATATACGGTAAATATATATATATATATATATAACGTCGATGAGTTTTTCATCTCATGTCTCAAATTATTGCTTTATTTTTTCAAAGTTCAGACTCATCTGTCTTTTTTCATATACTTTTATTTTCCTTTTTTTTAAAAAAAAAAATTATTAATTTTGTCCTAAATCTTTTGTTAATGACATAATTTAGTTATCTAAATATAATGTTATAAACTTGTTCAAAACTAGAGGTGAATCTAGTGTCTCTGTCTGATACCATTGTCAGTCTGAATATCTCCCGAATATAGATTCTAATTACCTTGTCCAAAGAATTTGTTATTCTGATAGCTGAAAAATGGGAGAACTTAGAGAGTCGATCAATAATCACCCAGATCGCATCGTGTCTCGAACGTTCTTTAGGCAATCCTATTATAAAGTTTATGGTGATATATTCTCATTTCCATTCTAGGATTGGCAAAAGTTGAAATAGTTCGTCTGGGCGTTGATGCTCTACTTTAACCTGTTGGTATATAAGGCATTTGGAGACGAAATCAACAAGTTTCTTTTTAATCCCACTTCACCAGAATTAAGGCCGCATGTTTTCGTACATCTTAGTGCTTCTTAGGTGTATAGTGAACTTCGAACTATGAACCTCCGTCATGATATCTCTTTTCAACTCGCTATCACTAAGGACACACAACCTATCTTAGAACTTAAGCAATCCATCTGTAGAGACTCAGAACTCTGAATTCAAACCATATTCTATATCGTTTCTAAAAGCTACTTGACTAGAATCGGCCAGTTAAGCCTCCCTTATTCTCTGAATTAACTCTGGTTAGTTTGCTAATTGAACTACAAATGTGGTCCTTTTTAAGTTTTAGAATTGTATCAGCTATGTAGCCTTTATCATCCTGCACTCAAAAAGTATAATGTGAGCTAACATACCTGCATTCTTCCTACTGAGGGCATTGGCTACCACCCTTATCCGGATGGTACAAGATCTTATAATCGTAATCCTTAAGGAGTTCTATCCAACGCCGCCTCGGACGTATGTTGAGGTCCTTCTAGGTAAATATATGCTTTAGGCTCTTATGGTCTGTATAGATTTCAAATGTTTCTCCACACAAGTAATGACGTCAGGTATTCAAGGCGTGGATAATGATGGTAAACTCTAAGTCGTAGGTGGGGTAATTTTTTTCATGAACTTTTAACTGTCTGGACCCATTAGCTATAACTTTTTGTATTGCATCATAATGCAACCCAGTCCTTGGTAGAAAACGTCACTGTATACTATATACCCACATTCCCATTTGGCAGAGCCAACACTGGTGCAGTAGTCAGTAGGTTTTATAAATCTCTTTTCATATTTCTCATTCTACTCAAACTTGATATTTTTCTTCATAAGTCGTGTTAGGGGGGGCTGCTATACTTTGTAACCATTCCACAAACTTGCGGTAATAACCTACCATACCCAAGAAGCTCTTAATTTTCTTGGCTGATGTTAATTGCTTCCATCCCATTACTGCATCAATCTTGTCAAAATTTACTGACACTCAATCTTTCGATACTATGTGTCCTAAGAAGGAATGTTTAAGCCAGAGTCTACACTTACTCAGCTTTACATATAGTTTCTTTTCCCTGAGAGTATGTAAGACCTAAGTCAGATGTTAAGCATGTTCCTCTTCATTTTTAGAGTAAACTAGGATATCATTAATTAAAACTATGAAAAACTGCTCCAAGAATGGCCTAAAGATCATGTTCATCAAATTCATAAAGATTGCAAACGCGTTAGTCAATCCAAACGACATAACAAAGAACTCATAATGCCCGTATCAAGTCTTGAAGGTCGTTTTAAGAATATCTTCTGCCTTGATATTCACTTAATGGTATACTAAACACGGTTCAATCTTGGAAAAAATCTAGGCACATTGTAATTGATAAAAAAGATCATCAATTCTGAGAATGGGGTACTTGTTCTTGATTCTGACCCTGTTCAGTTCTCTGTAGCATATACACAATCTCAAAGACCCATCATTTTTATTGCGAACGTGACTCTGGC